GAGACTACACCCCGGAGACAAAAGCCTCACTCACACTCCCCACATTTTATGAACGCGTCGGAGGAATCGCGGAAGTCATGTAAACCTGCCGGGAGTGTTCAAGGTTAAGGGTAGTTACAGGATTTTCTCGGCCACTTCCTGTACTTTCCCCTGAGATAAAGTAAGACAGGCATGACTGAAGATACTCGTTTGATTGTGTTGATAATCTGATTATAAGAGCTGTCTAAAGAAAATGATTAATGTTTCTGAAGTTAATTTGGCTTATGCCCGGAAAAAAATAGTGCCGATGGCCAAGTTTTATATTTAAAATACGCGTCTGGCGATCAGACACTGGAGTATCGATTCCATTGTTCAGATGAATCATTTGCTCGCTTTGTTTTTCGAGTGAAGGAACGAAAGCAAGTAGCATAGTATGCCGTGTCACAGTCCACATTTTCTTTAACACACTCTCGAAGGCCAACGAAAGTATAACATCTTAAAACTTCTTGGGAGTTTTTCTTCGCTTGCAAAGTTTAATAACATGTATCCACAATTGTCTAATATAGGCAAAGGAAGTGGTGCTGCATCTAATACCATATAGATTTTAAAGTCGATATTTTTTTCGTATTCCAGTTTGCACCCACCGCATCATCCAGGGATGTCTTGTAATGGGACACGCCCACTATTATATTTTATATTAGTGTTCTTGTTTCATCCTTGACTATACTAATTACTGGATATTGTCACTGTCAGTTGAATATACGGCCTGTTTTCATTTGTGTCACCCAAATCTATTATTGTATTTATTTATTTTTTTTTTTTTTTATAAAATAGAACAACAGATCATGTCAATGTGACCTCAACTCTTCCTGTTGCTTGTGGTCAGACTCTTAACGCTTCTGACCTTTATTCGAGATAAGTTAAGAGGCCACAGACCCCAGCAAGGTGCACAGACGCCAATCTTGCCTCATGTTCACCTTCCTTGGTAGCTGGGAAGTCCTCTTGTGTTGCTATATCTTCGCTATTCTCTACTTAACTGCTAAATGGAAAGAACAACAGCGCAATGTATATGGATGTGCACCTTGTTTTCATGGCCGGGCAGGTGCCAGAGCGTCGAGAGTAGCACTTCAAATCAATTTTCTCTCTGCCCATTATAAAGAAAGTGATCTTTGAATTCATCATAGGGCCTTTATTTTACCTTGAGAGGATGCAAACACACCCACACGTACACTATCAAGGTCACAGCCTGCATGCCAAGGTCAATTATTTGTTTCTCCAGCTTTTAAGGTAAAAGGGACGTTATGAGTGGCATTTGCTTTGCATTTAATCATCAGCCATAACATATTTAACTTCTAGAATTGATTGAAAAGTTATAACAGGCATTTGGTTTGGCTAGAAACCTCATAAACAAAGGCGCGGGCATAGTGACAATGCAGACAATCGGAAATGCCGGTCTATTTCCCTGCTGGCCAGAACAAGATGTCAATCAGTTATCATATAAATCTCATACAGGTTGTGCAAGGATATCCGTGCCACCAAACTGATGTCGAAGCTGATAATACACGGCAATGATGAACGCAATATACAAATGAAATTGGGGCAAAATTTTGCAACGCTACTTTAACCCTTTTCCTCCTGTATTAGGATGGGATTTTAGCCTCTACTGGGGATATGCGTCACAGTCTTTATCCTAGAGAGGTGGAGGCTCCGGTAGGGATTGCATCAGCGCGGGAACCACCTGTCTGCGAAAGAACGAGTTATCATGCACCAGAGAATTTGGGTACAAGCAGCACTCATTCAAATGCCGGTTCTTTTATCCGAGGAGCTGGTTCTGATTTGGTTCGATTGAATATATTTTTAGCCTCTCTCTCTCCTTCTCTAACCCTCCCCTTCTCTTCCTCTCCTCTTCTCTTCCTCTCCTCTTCTCTTTCTCTCCTCTTCTCTTCCTCTCCCCTTCTCTTTCTCTCCCCTGCTCTTCCTCTCCCCTTCTCTTTCTCTCCCCTTCTCTTCCTCTTCCCTTCTCTTTCTCTCCCCTTCTCTTTCTATCCCGTTTTCCTCCTCTCCTCTTCTCTTTACCCTCCCTTTCTCTTCCTCTCCCCTTCTCTTCCTCTCTTCCTCTCTCTCTCTCTCTCAGTCCCTCCATCTGACTTGTCCCAAATTCCACATTATTACTAATGCCCAATATTCGAGCAGCGTTTTCCGTGTGCTCTGGACGAGGCCACTGTTTTCGGTTATCAGGTGGAAACTGCATTGGTTTCCTTTATTTTTTCTCTCTTTTTGACCGCATCATCCATGTATGCAACAATAGCATGAACCTGCAGTTGACTGCAGGTTCACAGGGCGGCCAGGTGTGACAGGCGCATCCGGCGGTCCTCAGCGTCAGTGTGAGAGAGAGAGAGAGAGAGAGAGAGAAAGAGAGAGAGAGAGAGGGAGAGAGAGAGAGAGAGAGAGAGAGAGAGAGAAAGAGAGAGAGAGAGAGGGAGAGAGAGAGAGAGAGAGAGAGAGAGAGAGAAGGAGAGAGAGAAGGGGGAGGGAGAGAGAGAGAGAGAGAGAGAGAGAGAGAGAAGGAGAGAGAGAAGGGGGAGGGAGAGAGAGAGAGAGAGAGAGAGAGAGAGAGAAAGAGAGAGAGAGAGAGGGAGAGAGAGAGAGAGAGAGAGAGAGAGAGAGAAGGAGAGAGAGAAGGGGGAGGGAGAGAGAGAGAGAGAGAGAGAGAGAGAGAGACAGAGAGAGGGAGGGAGGGAGAGAGAGAGGGGGGGGCAGGGGGAAGGGAAAACGAGAGAGAGGAGGGAGGTGGGAGGGAGAGCCCAGTAAGTTGAGCAACCGAGGATCAAAAACTAGCTTCCGCTGGTCTGAACAACTGAACACCTCTTGCTACACCCGAACACATTTCCTAGGCGTGAACTGTGGCAACATATAGAAGCCAGAGCCTGCAGTCACCTTAAGCATATTTGTAAGAAAGTTGAACACAGTATATGGGACCTACCTGTGTTAGGATGAAGGTCTAGTCAACAAGCATTGAAATGCGTTTGTTCACGTTTTTTATACCTGGATAATGAATGCAAACAAACAAACAAACACACACACACACACACACACACACACACACACACACACACACACACACACACACACACACTGTACCACTGACCTTGGGGAGGGTGTAGAGGACCGTGCGGGCGGCAAGACCTCTCGCGAAGGCAGCCGAGAGGGCGTGCCAGCAACACAGCTTGGTTGGCAACAGGGTGTTTCCTAAAAGCGAATCATTGTTACATCACCAAATGAGCATTGAGATTTTTACTAGGTGACCTCTTGATCCCATAGACGTGCAGCATCACGGTCCCGAACAAGTAAAGATGCGTTGGACTCGTAAAAACTTGCCCGGGTGTTGTCCTTCCCTTCCCGCTGTGCTCGTTCTGTATGGCTGTGAGTCATTATCTCTCTTATCTTCCGATCAACAAGGTCACGTTCACGGGGTTACGACGACCAAGCAGGCAAAAAACATTCCTCTTCCATAAGGGACTTGAAAGGTACGAATGAGTCACAGGAACACAGAACGAGGCACTACATCCTTGCTGACCTCGCCTTCCTCGTTTCCTTTGTTTTTATTAATAATTTAGGTCGTGACAGTTGAGAAGGGGAAATGGTTACACATAGTGAAGAAGGATTTTTCTAAAACGAATTGTGATATTTTTATAGACTGAGCATTCCATTGTTTTGCGTTCATGACTTATTATGACTGCAGAACAAGACTTATACTTCATACCTTCCGAATGGGATTTTTCTTAAGTTCGCTATGCATCAAAGTCAGGCCCTTGTTAAGTATACTGCAGCTTTTTAAGACAATAGCAAATCCAGTGCTGTTTATCTTATCATCATATATCATCAAATGCAATGCGCTACGAACAGCCGACTTTGCGTTACTAAATTTTTGTCCATAGAAATGTAATAGGATGTTAGGGCTGGAGATTACGTGGTCCACTTGGAGAATAAAAAAATATCCCCCCAGTATCCCGCGCGTCTTCGTATCTTCACGCTAAACCTTCAGCCTTGGAAGCTTAGCATAGATAAAGACCTAAGAGACCTTGAGTGTGAAACCAGAGGGAATGTTATACTGTTTTTATAACTCGGGTCTCTGTCGATTATATTTGATAAGACAAGCGAAGAAATTGTATTTATTTGCAGTACATTTTACTAGGTGAATGAATAGATGAAAATGATACGATACAAATATAGCTTAATGTCATCTGGTCATTTCTTTGTTTTGCCTAACGCTGGCAAGCTATGGGAGACGATCATTCTGTCCATAAAAGTAAAGGTGATAAATCGGAACCTAGCATCTCTTACACGCACGTGTTCACATGCGTGCAAGGTGGGGGCAGAGAGGGGGGGGGGGCGGTAATTGCATGCGATAAGACTGATTGCAGGTGTGCCACCGGATGAGACTGATTATTGATGCGACACAGGTAGCGACAGTATAACTGCAGGTCATTTTCCCCAATCATATTCAGTGCATGTCAATATTATTGCCATGATTGGAAAAGAATCATCTCTGTGCCATCATGCTGTTTACACATTGTTTTGATAGCGTTAAAATATGTTATGTAAAAATGGAATTTATTTCATATAAAATGACATAACAACTTAAATACTAGTATGTTCGTTTTCATCGAGGTATGGGATAAACACCACCTGAGCTGTGTGTGCGGCCCACAGGTGTTCTCGCACAGGTGTAAACATAACAGTCGTGCATCACCAAGATATTAGTCAGGTTCGGGAGTGAACGAGGAAAGCCGTTCGCTGGTCGGGATGTTCATTTCACTTTTGGTGTTTGTTGGGTTAAATCCATCTGCGTGGAAAGGGAATTAGTATTGTTTTATATAGTGCGTAAAGATTTTTTGACAAAAATGTGGGGAGGCCTATCATGCATCAGTGAACGAGCGCAAATCGAGAAAGTTAATGGAAAAATAGACGAATGGCTGGAGCGCAAATCGAGAAAGTTAATGGAAAAATAGACGAATGGCTGTTATGTCGAGAGGAGCCGTTTGCTTTCTGAAGTATTTGTTCGACTAAAGTAGTTGTACCTGCCCTTAGCACAGCCGAGACAGCCAAACCTCATTTGTTAGTGAATGTATTCCGAGGCCAAGGTAATCACTGGGTTATATAAATTACCTTGCCCTATTCTGATTACGCTTTCCGATTATGTATTTTGTGAGTTTGGTCTCGAGGAAATGTTGATAATCTTAGACTTCAAATCCATCTACGTTCCATGATGTCAGCATTGTGATTAAAGTGTAGTACAATTTCACAATTCACGAAATGAGTATTTTTTATCATAGTGATGACACTACATTGGAAAATCAACATCTAGAGACTGGGAACACAGAATCTCGAGAACAAGCAAAGAACAGGGAACGCGCCCATTCATTGTCGGCTTCATGATAGCTCGTTATGGAATAATCGTCCCTTGATGGCGTGATGCGGAGGGGCTCATTAGCTGACGTCATAATGCAACCGTATCTTATCAGCAATCAGGATTCTTTCCGCTCGGTGATTTGGCGAATCAGGATATCGAGTATTCTAGCTTTCCCTGTCTGAATGAGACATGTCACCCAGCGCTTTACATTTTTTTTCTCACGTAGTAGCCTAAATATGCCATGTGTAACGATGCGTTATGTTTTCTGCAGATGGATAACGGCCACGTGAACACCGCCTACAATGGCGACACGCCTTCGAAAGCAGCGGACAAGGAGCGGGAGGTCCAGGAGCGCAGCCAGGCGAAAGTAAACGATCCCTGGGCCATCGTCGAGCTCGTGGAGGATTCAGGACCCAAGTGGAGTGGTGAGTGAGCTTCGCTGTTACCTGCAGCGCACGCACGCACGCGCGCGCGCACACACACACACACACACACACACACACACACACACACACACACACACACACACACACACACACACACACACACACACACACACGCCAAATATATATGTATGTATGCATGCTTCATTGCCCGCCATGCATTATATGGATCAGACCTTGGAGCAAACATTCATAAAGCCAATACGCCACCAAAGGCAGCGGTCATCGTTTCACTATTATAACGAGTTGCAGGTTATTAGTCGCTGAGTCATATTGTTAACAAAGGCCAATAATGCATATATGCATCCTATTAGTACATGTTAAAGCGACACAGAGCAAGTGAATTACCATCGTCAAATCTCAATTTCTAATCGGTATAGCTGACAGGAGCCAACCTCAGACAGACCATTCTATTTTGATCGAGAAAGAAAATACGCATTCCCCTTTCACTCCATGTACGCACTGGACCTGGATCGTGGAATTGTAGTTAGACCAGTTCTTGGCGTGACCATTAAGGCTCCAGAAACCTGCCCGACCATCCCTCCATCCTCGAATAGCGTGCGACGTACCTTTCACCTTGACAGTGGCAACGTGCCCACCTCTGCCCTGCGACCTAGGAGCGAGACTGGCCACTCAAGGTCATTATTCACAGATTACATTTCCCTTTTCCTTACACAATACTTTATAACGAATGTGACACCGAGAGAAGCTTTCTATTATGAAGAAAGGGCTGAGTGCTCCGTTACAGTGCTTCACAGTCATGCTTACCTGGCCGCTACATCAAGACTGACCAGATACATTATAAACATAGTTAATATTAATGAAACTGTTACTACACAAGTTCTTGCTTTAAACGTAACGGTTAAGAATTGCGTAAATCACAGGGAATTCATAACTTAGCCAAACTTAAAATACTACAGAACAGCCATGTTACAAGAGGGAAGTCGGATAACGTTTTCTTCGTTAACGTTTGAAGCCACCAGGGTGTGGCGTGTTATAGGTTGCAAACGTTGTACCATGCTTGCGATGGTATTGATCTCATTGAGCAATACATCTTGCTAAATCAGCACAGTTTAGAATGAACTAAGACCGGTCCGACGCGCTACTGTGTTGAATTTAGAGCGTTTAATGTTTTAAACTGCAGAAATGGTGTTCTTACGACGAGTTCATTCGTTTCGAATAAGAACACAGATCATTCCACAACATTCTGGATAAGGTTTCCTTAATCGACTCCAGTATTTTCTCCATGCAATCTCGAGAGCAAGCGGCCGATAAACTAAAAAATAACGCAGCCACGGTCACCGTTGCCCAATCCAAGGACCACGGTCATGGACGAGCAAACAGTGACTGTATTTCAGCCGCGTGGCACGTTCCGGCGAGCGTGTTAAGCGGGCACTGGGGCAACTTTTTTGCCTAGGCATTAACTGACCGACTTCTATGTGAAACCCAGTGGCCGGACAACACCTGTTGCCTCCTTTTCGCAATAGAGAGGTTTACGAGAACAGCAGTGAAAATTAATGAGCAATGTGAATAAGCGAGATAATAGACGGTTGGACGTCTTGGTAGAACGAGTAAGAATAATGGCTAATGGCTAAAACAAATAAATGCGCCAGACATCAATGGACCTGTAGCAGCACGCGTAAGAATAAATGTTTACGCAATCACATGAGTTCAATGATCTTGCACTCGTTCCGACAAGCATGCACGCGCCACATTGTTGCTAGGCCTACTTAGGTACAACTGGTTTGACAGGAGTAGGCCTTATACTCTCCCCATCTATCGTGAGGCAAGATGTGTACTCTAATCTAAGATCCACTTAATAGTTCATCATCAGTAAAAAAAAATAATAATAACCTTTATCTGTTTTCCAACGTTTCCATATTCATTAATATAAAACACGGGGATGAGGACGTAAGTATGAACCACTTCCTTGCCAGTAGACCCAGACACGACTTCCATAGCCACCCGCAGTACAGATTCGCTTTCACAGCAGTCGCCTCAACCCACTAGACAGAAACAGGGTTGCTAGCCTCCGATGTCTTCAGGTCGTAGCTCAGGACACCGCCGTCCGTAAAAGGCAGCATTGGGACCCGAGCCAAGCCTATGCCCTCAGCATGATAAGGTGGGC